CATTTGAGTTCCCTGCAGATCCTAGATGTTAGGCCTTTGTCAGATTCATATTGGGCAAATATTTTTTCCTATTCTGTGGATTCTCTCACCACTCTCTTGATTTCTTTTGCTTTAGAAGCTTGACAGTTTGATGAGGTCCCAACAAAGTGACATATTTAAAGTAATTAGTCAAGGAAATAAAGAACCCATCTTTGTCCCGATTACTTGAGTATCTTACCTAAAGTTGGTTTTATGAACTTGACTTTGTGTTTGAACTCTCAGGTTTCCAGTATTTTCTACTGTACACTGTTTTCTCAGGATTTCTTTTAGGAACAAGGAATAAAATAATCATCAAACTGTTGCTGGAAAAAAAAGAAATAAAGAAGGAAAGAAGAAATTTAACTGGCCTCCATGTCTATATACAGATGCTCAAACAATCACACCAGGAGCCTTCTCTTTCTATGCCTGGACTCTTCTGGCCTTTGGGTTAGTTCATGTTTAAGCAGGCTTTCTCCACACAGTGGCAAAGATGGGCATCAGACACTTCAAGTTAACATCATCTTTAGTGTTTGCGTTCTCTAGAGGAAAGAAGTCCTCTGCCAGCTCCATATTAAATCCCCAAAAAGACTCTCTTTGGTCTTGCTTTTGTCACATGCTTATTCCAAGCACCCTGTCAAGTGAATAGAGTTCATTGAAAGGCCAGCCTAACATGTACACTCACCCTGTGATGAGAGGCATAGGCCATGTGATTGACATTCCCAGTAGATGGGGGAGGGAGAGTTTTCAAAAGAGTTGCCAGTAGAAGAAACAATGGTTGCTGGGCAAGCAAAAACAGGTGTGTACTAAAATACTGTGCCTTTTGAATAGAAATCTTCTCCAGGAAATGCAAATAATTCAGAACAGCTCAAACAAGCATCATATATTTAAAACAATTAAAAATATACTCAGAAGAACTAAATTGCACATTTAGTGTATGTTAGATAATACTTTCTCCTCTTTAAACCTTAGTTTTGTCATCTGAAAACATGGAAGTAGTGCTTACCTTATAAGATAATCATGATTAGAAGAGATGCTGTAACTGACCATCTTGTAAACTATAAGGTGCTATCTACATAGTTATAAAGATAACGCCTAAGAAAATCAGTTCTTAAAGAAAGCAAAGTTAGCCATGTCAAAGTTTAGAAAGTCTCTCTCTCTAAAAATTTATTCCATTACCCCTGTTGTGTTTTTTTTCTGAGGACTCAGTGCTTGAATAAAACATGCAATGCCTTTGTTGGTGTTGACACTGACAAGCACAGGGATAGTGTTGATAGGCACAGGTAGCTACTCAGTAAATACTTAGAGAATAAAATGTATTGCTAGATGACTGAGGAATGAAAGACCAATATGAGCTAGTTTAATGAGAAAACTAGAGATAGGTAGATGGCAGAGAGAGTCAGGTAGCTGGTTTTAAGTTTAGGCTGAGTTGATAGCCATAACTAATGGGGCGATCTTTAAAGGAAATGCTCCTAAATACCAGTAGTTTTATGGCCAAGGTGCCATTGAAATGATCACTCCCAGGAAATGTTTTGCCAGTGAGATTACCTTAACAATCAACTGAAAAGAAATAAAGAAATGTTTTATAGGTGATTCACTTTCACCTTATATGTGCACAACATTTTAAGAGATTAAAATAGTCAATCTGACTCATCTTTATGTGTTCCTTTTAGTAAGGAACACAAGGTTGGTTAAATGGCTAGCACTATTTCAGAAAGCAAAAAATAGCAGAAACGGTAAAAAGACACTCTATGTGGAAAGCCTGATCCAGGCACATCACAGGAATAAATGTATCAAGACAAAAATATATGACAAGTCAAATTATTTCTGGAATCACTACCAATATAAATATTAAAATTGCTCACACAGCCAGATCTGGCAAGTTACATTGATGGAGAAGTGAAAGTAATATATGCCAAGTCAATGGCATTGGACTAAAATGTAATTTTAGAAAAACAATCTCAGATTTGAAAATTATTGGACTTGGAAAATACTTTGGTTCATTAGTTCAACCAAGGCGTATGATATTAAATATTTAATAACCATCTATCCAAGGGAGAAAATAAGCCTTGATTTATAGTGTTTGCCAATTTCTATGGTGTAAATACTCTCATCGTGACTGATTGCAGGCTACCAGGATGAAATCACTAAAATACAAGTTGGGGAAGAAATGCACATGATAGGCTGCCATGAGATAGTATTAAAGGAACTCAGCACATGGCTGGTTCAACACTATAATTTCACAAATAAGAAAACAATTGAGACCAAAGAAGCTGAGTGAACTGCCTTGGGTCATACAAATAATAAGCTGCACTGCCACAACTAAAGCTAGGTTCTCTCCAGTGTTTCAGCTCATAATTGTGAATCCATCTGAGGAAAGGGCCTCCTGGTCCTTGTATTCAACCTTGTGTTCCTTACTAGAAGGAACATGTAAAGATGATTCAATGAAAATGACTGATTGGTAGGCCCACCTTACTCCCTAGCCTGGTTAAGTTCTCCTTTAAGGGGCCGCCATAGACTTTTCCATATTGAATTCAAACCATGGTCTATCTCACCTACTGGTCTGAGGTCTCACTGACATTTGGAAAGTGCTTTATTTGTCCCTGAATCTTCAGATTCTGTATAGTATCTTACACACAGATGCTCATAAGTGTTTTGTTGAGGGCATGTGCAAACAATAAACATGTAATGACTTACTGTGTGCCAGGCATTATTCTTAGCGGTTCACATGCATTAATTCATTAACATCTTATAATAACTCTCACAACAAGTAAGATAGGTACTACAATTATGCCTATATTGTAGATGAGAAAATAGAGACCCAGAGTTCTTTGCCAAAGGTCACATAGACAGTGAATGGATTCAAACCCTGCAATCTGGCTCATGAGCCTACCACTTGGCCACTCAACTGTCACTCAGTTAACTGACAGTGTCATCAGACTGCACAGCTCAGCAACAAATACTTCTAAAAGTTCTCCCTCCATTACTTATGAAGGACACAAACATTTCCCAGGAAAGATCTAGTCCGACCAAAACACACACCATTGTTAATGGGGAAGGGCCATTATTAGTTGGGATAATCAAGGTGTTTAGGTGATTAAGTTTTCTAATTTGATGTTTACACAGAAACCTATGTTTTAATCTGATCTCAAACCAGGCGAAGTGGGTACCAAAGTGAGATCCCAACTTTACCTGGATAATAGCCATTTGTATACCTAACTCTGAATTGTACCCCACATCTTTAAAATAAAAATTAAAAAAAGAAATCCATCTTTTAATTAAAAATCCTGTTGTTGATGAGCCCGAGTCCCATTTTTTCTTTAATTAAAAATATTTTTAACCTTTCTTTGATTTCTCAGTTTGAAAAAAGGCAGCACCATATGCGATCAGAGAATGTAAAGAAGGTGTGGGAGACTGGGGTACTAACTCCAACGTGTTCTGTGAGGGTTTTTCCTTAAGTAGAAACATACCCTCCTTCCTTACTGATTTTCCATTTCATCAAGTGAGATAACAAAAAGCGCACGTGTACATTTTCTTGGATTCACTGAGGCTTAGTACAGTGTGTGACTTATGTTCCAACCTTAAGATATGAACCTTAATATAAAAATGTAATTTAATAGAATACCTCTGATCTTAAAAGACAATATTATTTGGAAAACTCCTTTTAAGAGAAGAGAAAAAAAAGTTGTTTATACTCTACATTGTATTAATGAGCATTAATTGGCATGCAAATTGGTTATAATGTCTCCACCTTTTAGCAGTATAGCCCATTTATTGTCATTCCTTCAGAAAATACAGTAATAAATTTTTTATTAGACTCATGTTCCCAATTTTGGAAGAGATGAGGGGAATTCCAAGAAAAGTGGAGGTTATTTTTTAAATTGTATATTTATTCTCACATGTTTAAATTTCAGTCACCTTGAAAGTTCTCTTTGTTTGATACAATATACCTATCGAGATGCTTTTTCCGCTGCTCAGAACAGTGTTTGAACACAGCAGTTATGATGCCTTTTAGTGCTTCTGCTGTTTTTTGTTTCACCTCTTCCACATCGGCAAAACATTTCCATTTGAGGACTTTTTTCATCCAGGGAAACAAAAAAAAAGTTGTCCAGGGTGTGATCAGGTAAATAGGGAGGTTAGGGTGTGGGGTGGGGGTCATGCCATTTTTTGGTCAAAAACTGCTGCACACTCAGTGCAGTGTGAGCAGATGTGCTCATAAATCACCCATCATGAAATGGGCAAGCACGTTGAAAGAATCTCAGAAAAATTTCACTGAAGCTGAACACAGCCTTTCACAACGATGCTAGCTGATACACTGATGCCAATGGGTTCCTAGAACACTTAGTTGCGGGGAGGAAGCCTGTACTACAAGGGGCCCACCCTCCAAAAAATAGTTCCAGGTTTTCTTGGGCTCCCCCCCTTTGTACACTGATATTGAGAAGTGCATTTAATTTTTTCCATAACAGGTTCTAGATACGTATTTGCAGTTTGTATTTGTCTAACAGAACAATTTGTCCCTAATCTTTCTTTTCTTCTATTCCTTTTCATTCCCTGTGTCAACACCAAAAAATTTCTAGTACATTGTAAAACAATGAGAATTATATATAAAAATAGCAAGTACAACTTCCTACATTTATATACACTCTGTTTTGGTCAAAGTACTTTCATAGATGAGCTCTCTTTTTGATCCTCAAAGGGGTCATGTGAGGATATCGGACCCTGGGTCTCAGAGGTGGATGCATTGCCTGAGGTCACACAGAGAGGGAAAGGACCAGAATCAGAGATCTGATTGTCTGACTTCGGGTCTGGTGTATACTCCTGCACAGCACAGGAAGGGGCTTCTGGAGAGTGAAGCATTTAAGGGCATGGCTGGATGGGTTCCTATGGGCAAGACATGGAATTGAATCCTGGTTTTAGCTGTGATTTTAGCAAGTTTGCTCATCTAGAAGAGGAAGATAACAATACTTACCTCTTCACATGGTGTTGTTAAAGCACAAATCAAAGGGTTTAGCAGAATCCCTGGCAAATGGTAATCACTAAATACATGTTATTGCTATCTTTATGATTATATGGTTTATGCCTCTTCCAGTTTTTACCTTAGTTAGTGAAGGTTCATCTTGCCCTCTGGTCCAACTGCAGTTTTCTAGCGTTGCTTATCCCTTCAAAGCCTATATCTTCATTTGGATGCTGAAAATCATTGTACCCTTGACTCTCTGCCCTGGATTTCTTCCACCTTTCCTGGATGCAAAGAGGAAGTCATTAGACATAGTGTCTTATCTTAAAGGAACCTGCAGAGTTTTTCAGCAATACTTTCATTCACTTCTTGCTGGTCTCATTTATGTGCCCAGCTGTAGCTATCCTAAACCACCCTGAAGACCCTGGACCCTCCTCTGTGTTCTTCACTCTCAGCAGATGATCATGTACCCAGATTCATTTTTAAAACATCGAGGACATATATATGTTCTGAACTCCTTCAATATCCTTGTATCTTCACCCACTTCTCATCTTCTCCTACTGTCTCAGGAAGAATGAGCTCTCTTACGTCCCAAGGCTCTTGGGAATGCCTCCTTTTACTCCTTTGGAATATGACTCCAACAATTTTCTATCTCTCATTGGCCAGTTTAGTTTTCCCACTTCCTAGGCTCACATACTCACTCTCCTGACCATGCCATGTGCTGTCGACTGCTTCTCTAGCTTTGCACAAATTGCTCTGTCTGCTGGGAATTTTCATTCCCCGTCCTCCTTCAAGATTCAGCTCTAACATCATCTCTGGTTTGTTTCCCTTCCTCAACATTCCCTTAACTGTCTCCTTGCCACCAGCAAGTGGCTGTGAGCGTCCCAGGGAAGGGCACTATGTCTTTGAAGACACCCAATAAATGTTAGCAGAAGAAAGGGAGTTCCTGCAAATAAGTATATATCTTTCCCACAATTGAAACATAAACTCTTGACCTTGTTATTGCACCTTCTGCTTATCCTTCTTCTGAACAGCATTCTGCTTATCCACCATACTTTCCCCTTGCAATTTAATGTCTGACACTTTTTGAAACCCTTTTCTGCAAAGACAAAAAACAACTTCCTTGTGGACCAAATCCTGCTTCTTGAGACCCTCACCGGGCTTCTGTGACACAGTGAAAAATTGGTTCTTTTGATGCCTCATTGACTTAGCCTTCCTTGACTCCATTGATTTCTCCAATGTGGGTATTCCCTAAGATTTAGTTCATTTGCCTTCTCTGCTGTCATCTACTCCCTACACGAACATTCTTGGTTTTAACCATCACCTGTAGGCAGATAACATGCAAAGTTTATTTCTAGTCCAAGTAGCGCCCCAATTATTCTGCCAGTCGAGTTCTGAATTTTGATTCCAGCAATGGCAAATACCTGACGCTCATGCTGTCATTTGCCACTGTCTCACCCAAGACAGATGTTGTTTCACCCGAGACGGATTGTGCCACTTTTCCACTAAGAGGCAGCTTCAGAATCTTTCTCATTATCCACCTTTATTCCATGGCATAAATGCTCTGTCTGCTTGAAATTTTCACTCTTCACTTATTCCAGGCATGTGCTTCTTGATAAATAATGGAAAACCTGCAGTTCATCCCCATAGCACAACATGCACTTTTTTCCCGACTAGCACATCAAACTCAACAGGTTTAAAACCAACTTATCATATCACCCTATCATATCCCCCTATCCTCAGCTTAACTTCCTACTGCTGCCTACCCTGGTTTTGCAACTTGTTTCACTTTTTCCAAATGACTGCTAATCTTCTTTTTTATACTCTACCCATTAAGGTATCAAATTGTATGTATTCCAATGTGTCTCTCATTCATCCCTTCCCTTCTATTCTCGGGGCCCCTATCTTGGCTCTGACACTTATTTCTTCATTATAGGATATAAGAACAGCCTGAACATGGGTCTTCCAATTGCCAGATTCTCACTTTTCTAAGTCTTCACCTCCAGATCATTCTTCCAAAATGACTCTCCAACTCAAAACCCTTTAAAAACTTTCCACTACCTTTTAAATAGGGTCCCCAATTCTTGGAAATTTTGTAGAGTAAAATTATCTTTGATTTGGAGTCAAAAAGATTTTGATGCAGGTTAACTACTATGAGACTTTGAACTTTTTGCTTAACTTTCATTTATTCAGTATATATTTATTGAACACCTACCGTGTTCTAGGCTCTGTATCAAGTATTTGAGATACAATGAAGAGCCAAACAGATTGTGTCCTTGCTTTCCTAGACCTCACAACATAATCAACTTGTCCCTATTTCTCATAATAATTTCTCCCTCCCTCAATGCTTTTAGCTTCTGGTTTATGCTGTGCAGGGTATTGTAATGCCATGTACAGTATTATTGTAATCAGCATTTTATGTGTGTTATCACTTAACCACAGTATAACTTCACCCAAGGGCAGGGACCATGGCCCATTTCCCATAGTGCAAGCACAGAGCCCTATATACTAGGTTCTCAGTGAATTCTGGTGTGGTTTTATAAACTCAAGGATAGTCTTTGGCATAGTTATTATGCCCGGTGTGTTTTGTCCTGTCAGAGTTATACTATTTTTTTAAAAAGTAATCACTATTTAGTGTCTATTCATTCTAAGATTTCTCCTTTCCAACCTACTGCCCTTCCTATAGCTATTATAAGTAGAATTTACAATATTTACAACTTGTGCACCTTAAGTTTTTTTATTTTAAAGATGTGCACCTTAAGTTTTAAAAAATAGCAAATTCGCTCACAGTGGAAATATTATCCATGTGCATACAATGGAATGTTAAAATAATGTTCTTTTTACTAAATAGCTTTTTGACTTGGTAATGAACAATATGTTGTTTTTCCCTGAAAAGTAGCACTAGGACTTAGTTCTGAAGATTGTATTTTACCTTATCCATTTTTCAACTGGCTGTTTTTAGGTTCTCAGTGAACTTACATTAAGCATTTGTCAGTCTGAAACAATGAGTTAACTATAGCCAAATTATAACCATACCTTTCCTCTGCACACAAAATCCTATAAACAGCATGTGATCATGTTGCTTCTAGAATTTATGATTGTTTTCTTCCAAAAGGAAGCTAAATTTAGCCTAGTAATTCTACATGCTCCCAAGGAAACAATGCCTGCTGTGATTTCTAGAATAAATGAATCTGAACCACAGTTCCCTTACTTGACTAACTGAGAAAGTTTAAATATCAACCTAGTCATTAACCACAGATATTAGACCACATTAAACAACCAGCAAGGGGTTAAGAAAGAAAGTTGCTGTGTTTCTGATTTCATTGCTGAGTGAGTCTAACTCAGTTGCCGTATCGACCTTAATACAGAACATTGTTTGCATCTCATAATGGTTCTCTAAAATTACTTGTTCATGGCTTGAGTTCTAAAATTAAACTATGTGGAGTCATGTCTAACAACACAATGCATCTTTATGTGAAACTAGCTAGAGTTTTGTGTCTTCGTCCTATGTAAAAAATTCCAGTTAGGAAACTTTATTTTTGATAGTTTAACTGGTATCGTTCTTTCTGTTTTCTTCTTCTTTGTTTCTAATGACAACTGAACTGCTCTCGCCTTGAACGTGTTTTGGCAGATAAACTTCTCACAATGAAGGCCCCCGCTGCGCTTGCACCTGGCATCCTTGTGCTCCTGTTTACCTTGGTGCAGAGGAGTGATGGGGTGTGTAGAGAGGCCCTAGTGAAGTCTGAGATGAACGTGAACATGAAGTACCAGCTTCCCAACTTCACCGCGGAAACGCCCATCCAGAATGTGGTTCTACATGAGCACCACATCTATCTCGGTGCCACTAACTACATTTATGTCTTAAATGACAAAGACCTGCAGAAGGTTGCTGAATACAAGACGGGGCCTGTGCTAGAACACCCAGACTGTTTCCCATGTCAGGACTGTGGCAGCAAAGCTAATTTATCAGGTGGCGTTTGGAAAGATAACATCAACATGGCTCTGCTTGTCGACACCTACTATGATGACCAACTGATTAGCTGTGGCAGCGTCCACAGAGGGACCTGCCAGCGACACGTACTTCCACCTGATAATGCTGCTGACATACAGTCGGAAGTTTACTGCATGTTCTCCCCACAAGCAGAAGAGTCCAGCCAGTGTCCTGACTGTGTGGTGAGCGCCCTAGGAGCCAAAGTCCTCCTATCTGTGAAGGACCGGTTCATCAACTTCTTTGTGGGCAATACCATAAATTCTTCCTATTTTCCAGATCATTCATTGCATTCAATATCAGTGAGAAGGCTAAAAGAAACGAAAGATGGTTTTAAGTTTTTGACAGACCAGTCCTATATTGATGTTTTACCTGAGTTCCAAGATTCTTACCCTATTAAGTATGTCCATGCCTTCGAAAGCAACCATTTTATTTACTTTTTGACAGTACAAAGGGAAACTCTAGATGCTCAAACTTTTCACACGAGAATAATCAGGTTCTGTTCCGTGGACTCCGGATTGCATTCCTACATGGAAATGCCTCTGGAGTGTATTCTCACAGAAAAGAGAAGAAAGAGATCCACAAAGGAGGAAGTGTTTAACATCCTTCAAGCTGCATATGTCAGTAAGCCTGGGGCCCATCTTGCTAAGCAAATAGGAGTCAGCCTGAATGATGACATTCTCTTCGGGGTGTTCGCACAAAGCAAGCCAGATTCTGCCGAGCCAATGAATCGATCTGCCGTCTGTGCCTTCCCTATCAAATATGTCAATGAATTCTTTAACAAGATCGTCAACAAAAACAATGTAAGATGTCTCCAGCATTTTTATGGGCCCAATCATGAGCACTGTTTTAACAGGGTAAGTCATATCAGCTCCCCACATACAAACTATGAGGTATAAATCAGAATAAGTAACCGTCTAGAAAAGAACATCAAAGACTTCTTTTGTGCTTGGTAAATGGTCTTTATTCAAAATATTTGCAGATTCTTTCCAAGAAAATTTAGAAATTGACTTCATTTACAACTAAAATTATATCTTACAAAGTAAATGTGGTAAGTGAAAGAAAAAAATATTTTTGAAATTCGGATTTGCATGTTTGCAACACTTCAGATTATTAAAGTTTTTTCTCATATAAGCTTTTGTAGTTCTAATCAAATTTACACAGATTTTACTCAACAGCAATTCCTGTAAAACATAATTATTGAGATCTCTGTGTAGTTTTTGCAACATTTAGAAGACGCTCAAGGTAATTTGTAGGTTAAGAATTTTTTCTTATGAGATCTAATTCTCCACTGATATACAAATAGTTAATCTGTATTCTTGACATTACCTAAAGAGCCTTAACTTTTAGAAATCTCTTCTGAAATGTTGGTAAGTAAAACATTTTAAAATAAGTTAACATGCTTCTCTAAATCACCTGGAAAAGTAGAGAGGAAATGTTTGCTCCCAAATTCTTCCTTTAGATCTTGACTTTAATCATGCACTTCCTTCTTGAACAGACATGTGTTTACCAAGTTCTAGTTTGGAATTTTACCTGGTCTGTATTTGATATTTATGAGCACAGATATGCTTGGAAAGTGTTAGGGATATTCTTGGTGTTTTTACTTTATAGTAGTAAAAGCTACCAGCTTGCTATACCTAGAGGATTTATCCTGCTAGCTATTTCATCACTTGGTACCAGAGGAAGAGTACCAAACTGAGAGTTTATTGTAATCTTGGCTTTCTTGTATTGGACCCAGATTTGGACATTTGGACCAGCTAGGATCATAATTGAATGAACAAATGGTATAGCTTTTCTAAAGACAGTTTGACTTTGGATAGGTATGTCTCACTTTGCCAGTTTTTAATATAGGTGAATTGTTATAATTGCAAGCAGAAAGAACATTAAGCATGTCCTTGATAACAGAAAGAATTTAATTTTCTGAGGGATACCAAGGGCATATGAATTTAGAAACGTTTGGTTGACTTTTGCTGAAATGTCTGGGATACTTTCCTAGATAGAGACTGCAGTTAACTTTTTTATGAAGCTAGGAAAATACTTCCAAGAAAGTCAGTTCATCTTTTGGTGAACTAAAGACAAAACTGTCCTCCACTCCCCTCCAAAGTCTATGAATACACATAACATACATGCACACATATCCTACCTACGACTTCTTTCCCCCTGCACACATTTAATATGTGTTGCAAACTCTGTAAGAAGCAATGAAATTCCTCATGAGGCTGCTCCTTTTCTTTACTAGAAAAAACGAAGGAATGAAAGGAAACAAAACAACTTTCAGAAAACTGGAATTAGGACATAGAAGTGTAACATTAGTAGCATGACAGAGAAAACATTTTTTCTGCTTCCAATAAGTTGCTTCAGAACCACAAGTTTAAAAGGAGTCTATTAGGAATTCCTCCAGGACTTTTAGAACACATAACTTTGATATTTAAATCTTGTTCTTTTAAAAAAAATTTTAAAGACTTTATGAAGGTATATTGATATCTCATCTCATTTTTATATTTTGTACATGCCAATCCCCAGACGTAAAAGTACTTATCAATTCTAGAAATTCTCAAAACACATCTGAACTTTATCCTACCTTTTTGACTTTTTTGTGCACCAAGGGAAACAAAGAGACAAGATTATCCTTTGAAATACAGGTCAGTTTTATCACCCAGGAAAAATGCCCAAAATGCACTAGCCACACCTGAAACCATTATCACTCCCATCACAAAAATTCTTGTGGGAAACAAGATGGAACTTGCCAACATAGCCTTCTTATAAGGGAAGCCAACTTTTGCACTGGCCAAATTCCATAAAGACAAATACCTTCAAGTCTCCTCTATTTATTTGCCTGTTTATTGTCTCTGGTTACAAAGATCAAAATTCTTCTGAGACTACATGCATTCTCTGTTTTGTATACCCTGTCAGCAGAAAGACCTCAGATTGTTCCAATAATGAGCCTATAATCATCATTTCCCAGCTTTATCTTAAAGTGAAGCCACCTAGAGCCATTTGTCACACAAAAATGAAATGATTTACAAGATCAAACTCATCTAGAATGACTCCAAGCAATAAGATGATTCCATTTTGTCTTGGCAAACGTACTTGGCAAGAAATCAAGTGACCCTTCTAATAATTTCTTGGAACTGATTTTTTAATTTTGGCCTAAAGTTTGGTGACTAGATGGACACATCGTAGTTTTATTATTGATAGTTCTAATATATTGATGGTGGAACTCGTGTGTGCTCGGAGGACAAGGTTAAGAAGGCTATAGCAGTAACTTTCCACGTAGGCTTCTGCCCAGTCCTCAGTGTGTATGCAATGCCACAAAACGGGGTTTCTGGCTCTCCTTAGCTTTCTGCACATGGTGGGGACACCATGTGCAGAAAGTATTTCTGTCACAGGGTCAGATAATGAGAGGGCTAAGCGAGGGCCTTTTCCACTCTAGGCTCCAGCAAGTGTAGCAGGCCTGACTTGCTTATTTGGGATCACATATTTTGTTCCCATTCTCACATTTTATGAAATGCATCCTTGCAAGCTTTCCACATGCATCGTCTCATATTGACCAAATCACAAAAGCTCTCTTTGGAGTCATCTAATAATTTCCAGAGCACATCATCATCACCTGAAAGTTGTTTGTGCTTCAGAACTCTTTATCACCACAAATGATGCTGTTTCTGGAAATTTATCCAAGCCACAGGTACCCATTTATGGAATACCAGTATTGTTGATTACACCAGCTGTTCTATCAGAATAGATAGATAGATAGATAGATAGATAGATAGATAGATAGATAGATAGATAGATATAGATATAGATATATTTTGAGTGGGGGGTCTCACTTTGTTGCACAGGCTGGAGTGCAGTGACACCATCACAACTCACTGAAGCCTTGACCCCCTGGGCTAAGACAATCCTCCTGGGCTCATGCAATTCTTCCACCTCAAGTAGCTGGGACTGCAGGCATCGGTCATCATGCCTAGCTAATTTTTTTTTTTTTTTAATAGAGACAAGGTCTTCCTATGTTGCCCAGGCTAATATTGAACTCCTGGGCTCAAGCAATCCTCCTACCTTGGCCCCTACCAAAATGCTGGGATTACAGGCGTGAGCCACCACACCCAGCCAAGAATATATTCTCGATTGTCATAATGTAACCATTTTTATGTTGCTTTTGAAAGTTATTTGTACATGATTCTTGTTTACAGTGACTTCCAACACCAACTATGAGATTATACACCCACAAATCTGTCTTAAGTATCTTTACCACCTTTTTCACCCATTCATCAACCAACTTTTATAAGCCTTCTGAAAAGTATTGATTGAAGTTGTTTTAGGCTAATGCATATTCCCTAAACAGCACATTTATTATTCAAAATAAAGGACTTGAAAAAATGCTCCATTATATGGAGATTTGTAAAGATCCAAATTTTGGAAGAAAAAAACTTCACCACCTATTTGGGGAGAAACAATATTTTAAAATTCAGTTAACTTGCTTAAAATTAGCTGGACACTCCAACAGTCTTAAACATAAAAGATTTATTAGCGTGACAGTTCCAGGAAAAAGAAAAAAATAGAATCAGTACACACTGGCCCAATCTCCTACAAATGAGAATCAGTTTTGAATAAGGAAATTGTTTTTAAAAAGTCCCCAATCAGCAAAGATCCTGTCTCCTGAGTTATAGCGTATTTACTGAAAGAAGAGGAATAGCACATTTTGGAAAGATTTTTAGTCAAAGTTGACATTTAAAAAGGGTTCTTGAAGTAGCTCTCACCTTTCAGAAAATACAAGTAACACATGACAGCTTTTCTTATAGTCCCATTATCAAAGTTTTGCTCTATAGACTTGTAGCAAATATTGTCACCAACATTTTGGTCACTTTGTGACCAACGATGGATCAACTGGAGGGAAAGGCATGACATTTGGTGCCAGACACAGCTGGATGGAAGTCCTGATTTACTACATCCCCGCCATTTGACTTCTGCCACATTACTTAACTTCTTGGAGCCTGGGTGCCATTTGTAATATGCAGATAACAATACCTACTTCACACGGCTTTGTGAAAATTTGGGATAATGTATATAAAGTACCTGGCACAGTAAGATGATAAATTTAGCTCTTTGGGGGACAGCATGGCTTAATGAAAGGAGGCTGAAGTCAGAGGTGTGGGTTCAAACCTGAACCCCATTATTTTTTCTTTTGGTGTTGTGGGGTACATGTGAGGATTTGCTATGTAAGTAAATTGCATGCAGGTGAGGTTTGGGCTTCTAATGAACCCCATTATTTTCTACCTGGATGACCATGAGAGTATTACTTAAACTCTCTGAATTCATTTTCTTCTGTGTAGGACTATTGTGTGGACAGGTGCAATCATATCTGTAAAAGGTCTCAACTTAGTCCTTGGCACTAAATAAATAGTAGCTATTATAGTAAGGAATGCTTGTGTAAAGAAAGGCAATTTCAAATGAATGGATTTTTTTCTGGAAGAGACTGGTTCTATCACTTATAAAGGTCTTCTACCTCCCTCCCAACCTATTATGAGTGGCCCACCTCTATATGCTTAATTTATATAAGTCCTTCTTAAGATTTAATGTTCAAAAAAATAAAAAAAAAGATGGGGAGAGGAGTAGTGATGGTTTGAGGGGGCAAGAGTAGGAAGAAAGATAATTGAATCAAAAATGTACTACGGTTAAGTTGTGTTCCTTTCCCTGACTTTGAATTCTAACTACCCATGACATTATAAAATATTATGCCTATGTACTTTAAGTCATACTTTGCATTCAAGAATTTGCAGATAATGCAGCTTTAGAAAAAGTCAACTTCATAAGTTTGTTTGTATCAAGCTTCCTTGTTTTTAAATATCATTTATACTCA